TGTCAAGGCTAGTAGCATCATATACACACCATTCATCTTCCATTTCACTATAGAACCTTCATTTTTGTTGCACCTCTACACCTCTAGTTAGAGTTTCCAATTTTTGTTTCATTACACAGTGGAGAATGGTTATCCAAGCACCTAAGAGCAAGCCATCATGTGGTATTCAAAGCCACAATTGAAGCTTTTTGTAGTGAAATAAGTGTTTTTGTTTTGTTTCCGTGTTGTTCAAGTGCTTTTCCATATTTGTCTTGATTTGTGTACTATTTTATTGATTTGTTTTTGTTCTAAGTAGGTTCTGCTTGTGTAAGTGAGTGTGTTGAGCTTTAAGTCAATTGTTTGATCATTTTAATCAGTGCAATTCTTTTGTTTGAGTCTTTTAATTGGAAATCTAATTTTGTTTTGTCATAAGTAATCTGGTTTGCATGTTAGTAAAATAGGCAAATATGAAAATAGAAACTAAACATGTAGATGTAACAAGTGTATTACAACTTGCTTGTATGGTTTTTACTGGCTAAAAGTGCATCAATATGTTATTAAGCAAATTGACCATTTCACTAAAATATGAAAACTACATTTTCATGTGGAAAATCCACCTGTAGTAGTTTTTGTTTCTATAATGTCTCAACTCTGGAAGTCACTTAAGCGTGTCAAAAACAAAAATACTTTCGTTTAAAATTGTAACATAATTAAAAAGTTTTCCCAAGAAATAAAGTTATTACAATTTGAAATTATAATGATCAAAATTCAACAAGAAAGTAAATAGTTTATTACAATTTCTTAAATCGATGGATAAAATAAAGAACTTTATCCAAAACTCCCATTGCAAATCCCCTCTCTCATCAATCACATAGCTCTCGTATCACAACCATAATATGACCCATCGCAGCAAACACAACCAAAAACAAACAAATGTATGGGTAAGCTAACAATATCAAAATCAACAGTATAAGTCAAGCAATACATAAAAACAAGACAGTTCAAACCATTCATTGCATCAAAAGCTTCTCTCATATCAATGGTCTATCCTCACAACACTAATTCCCAATATAGGATGATTGAGTAATCTACCTTCACAATACAAACCTATCTCCCCTATTCCTTTAGGTCTTATAAGTAAAAGCTTCGATGGATTGCATACCGAGCACTATACTTAGCATCAAGTTGGATTATAAGGTTAAACAATTTTTCCCTCCCCTATTTCACACAGGCTCGAGGATATGGTACTCAAACTCACTCTTACTACTTCTCACAGTCAAAGAGTGCTTCTTTTATGCTTCGCACAGGTGAAAGGAAGATCCTAAACTCAAGGACTTCACACCCAACTTTCCAAACCACTTCATAACCCGAAGTTACTCTCAAAGTCTATTCATATCAACCTCACTTGGAAATTACTAACTCTATCCTTTCTTAAGAGTCCACCAAACATAACTAGACAATATCAGAGCACCAGATATTCTGTAGGACAACCAATTTAGTCAAAGCAATATCCAAACAGCTATATAACATCTACCATACCAGAAGGATAGTAGAATGTATAACTAATAGAATGTATAACTAAGATTATGGAGGATGAGGATGAACAAACTCTCGTTTATGTTCAAATTGATGATTTCAAAAAACAAGCTAAATGTTTTGATTATCCCTACGCTGTTAGGTTAATTAATTTGAAGGCTCCAACAAATTGGTCGGAGTCTTACGGTAATGAATATCATAAATTCTAAATATTTGTCATTCATTAAACTTGACATGTAGCTCCTTCGCATGTGAATATAATTAGAATTCTTTTAATATCTTTATAATAAATATATTCTTCAAAGATTTTAGTATTAAATACTACAAAAATAAACATTCTTTCAAGAATAAAGCAACATATATTAAACTTTAAGATATTAAATACTATGAATGTTTAAAATTAAATATCAACATTTTGTATCTAGGATTTTTATTAATCAAACAAAATTATACATGTACAAATTACTTACTTTACATAGAGCATACAAAGTATTTATTAAATGTAAAATAAAAATATATTTTACACTTTAATTAATCACTTAATCAAAATAATATCATATTCTATTATAANTGATAAAATAGAGCTAACCAAGAGACATTTTACTAGAGAAATGATTAAGAACATGCAAGAAGAGCTAGATTAGAAAGCAACAAAGGACATCAAAGCCTTATATATCAAGCTAAATTGGAAGCTCTTGGATTGCTCAGTGCAAGGAGAAGAAGGCTAGCACAAGATACATGAAGACTTCATATTTGGGCTTGCAGATCAGCCAACACCCAATGAGGAGGGTATGTGCCCAACAACCCATGGGAAGTTTCAAGAGTTGTACGTTTTATTGCTTTGTACACGTAGCTAGGCACCTGAAAAACGTATTGTACATGTGGCTTGTGATTCATATGATGCGAATGATGATCAACCAAGATTGAATCTCGTGTAAGGGTGTTGAATCCACTATAAATCCAACACCTCGTGCATTGTAATGTCACTCTTGAATGCCAAGTAATGTCATGTTGTTAAGATCACTCCATCCTTTGCTTGTAACAAGAGTCACCTTTTTCGAGTCCTTATCACACTCCTTTAGCCTCTTTCCTTCGTTTGGGTTGGTTGTCAAGGCTAGTAGCATCATATACACACCATTCATCTTCCATTTCACTATAGAACCTTCATTTTTGTTGCACCTCTACACCTCTAGTTAGAGTTTCCAATTTTTGTTTCATTACACAGTGGAGAATGGTTATCCAAGCACCTAAGAGCAAGCCATCATGTGGTATTCAAAGCCACAATTAAAGCTTTTTGTAGTGAAATAAGTGTTTTTGTTTTGTTTCCGTGTTGTTCAAGTGCTTTTCCATATTTGTCTTGATTTGTGTACTATTTTATTGATTTGTTTTTGTTCTAAGTAGGTTCTGCTTGTGTAAGTGAGTGTGTTGAGCTTTAAGTCAATTGTTTGATCATTTTAATCAGTGCAATTCTTTTGTTTGAGTCTTTTAATTGGAAATCTAATTTTGTTTTGTCATAAGTAATCTGGTTTGCATGTTAGTAAAAGAGGCAAATATGAAAATAGAAACTAAACATGTAGATGTAACAAGTGTATTACAACTTGCTTGTATGGTTTTTACTGGCTAAAAGTGCATCAATATGTTATTAAGCAAATTGACCATTGCACTAAAATATGAAAACTACATTTTCATGTGGAAAAGCCACCAGTAGTAGTTTTTGTTTCTATAATGTCTCAACTCTGGAAGTCACTTAAGCGTGTCAAAAACAAAAATACTTTCGTTTAAAATTGTAACATAATTAAAAAGTTTTCCCAAGAAATAAAGTTATTACAATTTGAAATTATAATGATCAAAATTCAACAAGAAAGTAAATAGTTTATTACAATTTCTTAAATCGATGGATAAAATAAAGAACTTTATCCAAAACTCCCATTGCAAATCCCCTCTCTCATCAATCACATAACTCTAGTAGCATCTTCATTCCTATATGCTCTCGTATCACAATCGTAATACATTAATTGCAACAAACATAACCAAAACAAACAAATGTATGGGTAAGCTAACAATATCAAAATCAACAGTATAAGTCAAGCAATACATAAAAACAAGACAGTTCAAACCATTCATTGCATCAAAAGCTTCTCTCATATCAATGGTCTATCCTCACAACACTAATTCCCAATATAGGATGATTGAGTAATCTACCTTCACAATACAAACCTATCTCCCCTATTCCTTTAGGTCTTATAAGTAAAAGCTTCGATGGATTGCATACCGAGCACTATACTTAGCATCAAGTTGGATTATAAGGTTAAACAATTTTTCCCTCCCCTATTTCACACAGGCTCGAGGATATGGTACTCAAACTCACTCTTACTACTTCTCACAGTCAAAGAGTGCTTCTTTTATGCTTCGCACAGGTGAAAGGAAGATCCTAAACTCAAGGACTTCACACCCAACTTTCCAAACCACTTCATAACCCGAAGTTACTCTCAAAGTCTATTCATATCAACCTCACTTGGAAATTACTAACTCTATCCTTTCTTAAGAGTCCACCAAACATAACTAGACAATATCAGAGCACCAGATATTCTGTAGGACAACCAATTTAGTCAAAGCAATATCCAAACAGCTATATAACATCAACCATACCAGAAGGATAGTAGAATGTATAACTAATAGAATGTATAACTAAGATAATGGAGGATGAGGATGAACAAACTCTCGTTTATGTTCAAATTGATGATTTCAAAAAACAAGCTAAATGTTTTGATTATCCCTACGCTGTTAGGTTAATTAATTTGAAGGCTCCAACAAATTGGTCGGAGTCTTACGGTAATGAATATCATAAATTCTAAATATTTGTCATTCATTAAACTTGACATGTAGCTCCTTCGCATGTGAATATAATTAGAATTCTTTTAATATCTTTATAATAAATATATTCTTCAAAGATTTTAGTATTAAATACTACAAAAATAAACATTCTTTCAAGAATAAAGCAACATATATTAAACTTTAAGATATTAAATACTATGAATGTTTAAAATTAAATATCAACATTTTGTATCTAGGATTTTTATTAATCAAACAAAATTATACATGTACAAATTACTTACTTTACATAGAGCATACAAAGTATTTATTAAATGTAAAATAAAAATATATTTTACACTTTAATTAATCACTTAATCAAAATAATATCATATTCTATTATAACATATAATTATAATGTAATATATATATATATATATATATATAATATTTTTGTTTTAGATCCTTCATTATATTATATTTTATCAAAATTTAAATTGAAGAACATTCTTTACTATTTTTATTATTTTATTCAATTTTAATGATCAATCTTTTATACATGAAAATTGATCTTTAGTGCCAAACTTTCAGCGATGTAAATAAATTGAGGATGCCATTTGGGTGTTTTTTCTCTTTTAATTCTGTTATTTTATTTGGGAAAACAAATTCTTGTTCTTACTTACAGTGGAAGGACGTGGCGTGATTATCCAATGGCGACATGAAAGTATGCGCGTATTTATAATATACAATTGTAGCAACTGAAGAGAATGGATAAACACAGCACAACACAGGTGTAGCCATAGAGAGAGAGAGAGAATAGTCGCATTATTGATTCGCAGAAGATAAGGGATGTTTGGGTTAATCGGAAGAAAGGCCAATTTGTTGGGAGGATCGGGAAGAAGGTGGTTGAACTTGGCAGCAGCAACAGCAACAACCATTACTAATGGTGGGGCCATGGAGGAGTTACTTGCGCAACTGCAATCCAACGTTCAGAAGGCTCTTGCCGGTGGAGGACCCGAGGCTGTGAAGAGGAACAGGAGCAGGAATAAATTTCTTCCCCGCGAAAGAATCGATCGCCTTCTTGATCCTGGCTCTTCCTTCCTCGAGCTTTCACAGGTTTTTTTTTTTTTTGGTTGTCATTTGAGGAATATTGGTAATTGGTATATTAAATTATGATTATCTGTTAATTAGACTTTTTTAATTTTTATGAAACTACATTTTAGTGTCTATAATTTTAATTAAACGTGTTCAAGTCCTTTTTTCTTTCTATCCATTAATTTGGTTTTAAACTTGACTTAATGAACATGAGATTTATTCCCCTTCTCCAAAAATTTATCAGAATTTTTTAGGTTATAAGAGATTTATTTAAAATTTGGGATCAAATTCATCATGGCCACTTAGATAAATTAAAACATTTCTTTTTCTTATTGTTTCATTCAGTCCAACTCTATGCACGGCCTTTGCTGTCCTGTGAATATCACTAATTCATTTTAATTCTTTATATTTTCAATTTTATATCGTATAATATTTCAAAATAATTTTATCATTACTTAATTATAATTATATAAAAACAAAGCTTACATTTATTTATTTTTACCACGGATAGTATGATTTTGGTATTGCCTCTAAAAGTGAGATTTTGTATTCAAAAGATTAGTGTCTAACTATTGGGAGAGAAACAAAAAACCAATTTTCTATTTAAAAGATTAAAGCTAAGATTACTCGTGTATTAAAAACATTTACTTGTTTTTTTCAATCGTAATAATTATTATGTCTTCTGTTTTATATTTTTCATTTCTCTTTTTCTAAGCCATCACATTCTTAATTTGTGTGTTTTTCTCTTTATGATCCGTTTGCTTTATTCATTTGGATTTGTGGAAAGCTGGTTAGTTTAAGATGGTAGGCATATCTTGATTGTTTGCTAGGTTAAGGCTTTCAAATGGGTGGTAATTGTGAGAAATGGGTTTGACAACAAAAGTTTTTAACTTTTGAGTGATAAAGCTGGCAGGACATGACTTGTATGAAGAGCCCTTGCCTTCTGGAGGGGTTGTTACTGGGATAGGTCCTGTGCATGGGCGACTGTGTATGTTTGTGGCCAATGATCCCACTGTGAAGGGAGGGACTTACTATCCCATTACTGTTAAGAAGCACCTCAGGGCACAGGAGATTGCTGCTCAGTGCAAATTGCCCTGTGTATATCTTGTTGACAGTGGAGGAGCTTTTCTTCCCAAGCAAGCTGAAGTGTTTCCAGACAAAGAAAACTTTGGTAGAATATTCTACAATCAGGCTTTAATGTCTGCTGAAGGAATTCCTCAAATTGCATTGGTATTGGGCTCTTGCACTGCCGGTGGGGCATATATACCGGCAATGGCTGATGAAAGTGTGATGGTCAAGGGTAACGGCACCATTTTTTTAGCAGGGCCACCTCTTGTTAAGGTCTGCTCTAGCTATTGTAGTTCTCCAAGTCTCTTGCTGTTTCTTTGTTTTTTACTTTTAAAATCTTTAAAGTTTTAACATTTGAGCTAAATATGCTTTTAATCATTGAAAATATTACTGCTCTAGCTATTTTAGTTCTTTTCATTTTATGGAAATAACATACTTTTAGTCCCTAGTGACTTGTAAGAGACTAAAAACGTATCAATTTTGACAAATGTTGGGTTGAAGTGAATATAAATTTAGCATGACTGAAACCAAAACTGGTGATATTTTCAATCACCAAAAACATATTTGATTGCTCATGTTTTTGTAATGTATTTTCTACGTGTTTATGACTAAAAATAACCCTAAATTAATTTGTAGGCTGCTACTGGTGAAGAAGTATCGGCAGAGGATCTGGGAGGTGCTACTGTGCACTGCAAGACGTCCGGTGTTTCTGATTATTTTGCTCAAGGTATATGCTGTGACTGCTTTCTCTTATGCACATGAGTGTATAGAAAATGCGATAACTATTGACATTAACTTAGTTCCTGTTAGTTACTTTGTACATTTTTCGTTTCTTGTAAATGAACCAACATTAACTTAGTTCCTATTAGTGACTTTGTACATGTTTCGTCTCTTGTAGATGAACTCCATGCACTTGCGCTTGGGAGGAATATAATTAAGAATTTGCATATGGCTGGGAAAGATCCCTTGGCAAATGGATTGCAAAATATAAACTATGAATATAAAGAGCCGTTGTATGATGTCAATGAACTTCGTTCTATTGCTCCCACTGATCTTAAGAAACAGTTTGATATCCGATCAGTTATTGATCGAATTGTTGATGGAAGTGAATTTGATGAATTCAAGAAATTGTATGGCACTGTGAGGACATATCCACTTTACTTTTTATCAGTTTAATCATTATCCTAGTATGCATGAGTTGCTATTGTACTGTCTTTTTTTTTTCTCGGTGCCCTTACCTTTGATGGTTTGTCACACACTTATTTGTTGCTGATTTGACAATAAGGTTTTGTTTTGGATAAACATTTTAAATAATATACTTACAGGAAAAGTTGCAATTCACTTTGCATATTGAAATCTTTTTGCAGACACTTGTAACGGGATTTGCTAGGATTTTCGGACAGCCTGTTGGAATTATTGGAAACAACGGGATTTTATTCAACGAATCTGCACTGAAAGGGGCCCATTTCATTGAATTATGCACTCAACGTAACATTCCCTTGGTCTTCCTTCAGAACATCACTGGATTCATGGTATGAATTGAAGTAATTTATTTAGTTTCTCCACTATGCTTTTGTCGTTGTATTTTGATTTCTAAATAGATTGATTCCTTTTTCCTTCAGTCATACCCATTGTTTACTTATTCAAAGGCAAAGAATTATCTAATGTGCTCTGTGATTCACAAATAAATGAGCTGTATATCAATAAGCAATTAGGGATTAAAGTCATGTGGGCTTGATAATCATATATTGAAATTCAATGAAATAATAATATGTTCTCATTTAGGAAATACATAGGGATCAGTGACTGAACAAATTAGTCAGAAGAGTTTGAGAGTCATTAATTGTAATTCAATAGAAATATAATCATGTGTAGATTTAGGAAATACAGAGGGATTAATGACTGTAATAGTCAGGAGAGATTAAGAATTGTCAATTGAGATTAATAGAAATATAATGAGTTTGAGAATGCCAATAAGATCTAAAAGAGCCGTATTGATTCATCATACCTTTTAATTTTTACTTTAATTATAGTCCTGTTTTGTCTCAAACATTTTTGTTGATGGATATCGTGTATTTTTAACTGGTACTATTCTTTATCAAATGGTGGTACGTCTGTGGGTATCTCGGTTATGGTATGGATGTCAAATACTTCATGTCATCCATCTTCTTTTGTCTAATTATATTTTGTTGTTTGGAGACTGTAAAATGATGAAGGAAAGTATTTACTGTTAGTTTTTTTCTCCCTTTTCCTTGTAAAATGATGAAGGAAAGTATTATTTCTCTAAACAATAGAGTTATGAAACCGTAGTACATGTCTATTTGGTAGGTTGGCTCAAGATCTGAGGCAAATGGCATAGCAAAGTCTGGAGCAAAAATGGTTATGGCTGTTTCTTGTGCAAAGGTTTGTGGGTTCCAGCCATCTATTTACATGTTATAAAATTTATTCTATACTAGTAAGTTTATTACGTGTAATTATAAATGTCTTGGCAGTTGGAATGTAGGTGAAAGCAACATATGAAAGCATGAGAGATATTTTTCAAAGACAAATGATATTTTTTATCCTCAAATAAATACCTGTAGGTACCAAAAGTCACTATAATGGTTGGAGGAAGCTTCGGTGCAGGAAATTATGCAATGTGTGGTCGTGCCTATAGTCCAAATTTCTTGTTCCTTTGGCCTAATGCTAGAATATCTGTGATGGGTGGTGCTCAGGTAGCATATTTCTCGTGACCCCCATGAGTTATGATTCTTTATAATAAATTGTTGGCGTTGGTTGATCCAGGACTTCGCTCTGCATGGTTATTGTTCTGTACTTTGTGAGATAAATAATTATGTAGCTAGTTTTGCATTTTTTTTTCCTTCTAAATCAAACTGGATTTGAAAATTTGGTTGATCATTAGTTGTTACTCATCTGGTTTGTGGGGGTTTTAATTAATGCCTATGGAATGTGGCCATGGTTCAGGCTGCTGGTGTACTGTCTCAAATAGAGAAAGGCAACAAGAAAAAGCAAGGAATTCAGGTAAAATATGTTTCAGTTCTTGATAACATATTTGTGGTTTTCTCATCTGTCTTAGGTTGTCTTAATGCGCATCATAATTGTAAAGCAGTGGAATAAGGAAGAAGAGGAAAAGTTCAAAGCGAAAGTGGTGGAGGCTTATGAGAAAGAAGCAAGTCCTTATTACTCAACAGCACGGCTATGGGACGATGGAATCATTGATCCAGCGGATACAAGAAAAGTCATTGGTCTCTGCATCTCTGCCTCCCCTAACCTTGCCATTGAAAAAACAAAATATGGTGTATTTAGAATGTGAATTTCAAATTTTATTGTTGCAGCACACGGGGTTATCTGTTGTTATTAAGAAAGAAAGAATATGTGGGCGTACCATACAATGTCAATAAAAGTGTTTCTTGCACGTCACTTTGTATCCACAACAAAATCTAGCATGCTGATTTGTTCTAAAGCAAGCTCTGTTAAAAACATTGAATTGGACTAATATACACTGTAACCGCTGGAAGAACACATCTTTGATCTCCTCTTCTGATTCATTGAATAAATGGTGTCTTTTATCCATTATGGTGAATTGTGTTCTTAATTGTCATGGGACTAGAAGTTTGTACGAGAAATTGAACTTGTATTTGACGGATATCAATTGGAATAATTAAATTTGAATTAGGTTCTGGGAAATCTTCTAGAAATACATAAAGTTCTGGGGAGTATAATTTCTGAAACTACAAAATGCTGAGAAAGTAAAATTTGTTCAAAATGTCTGTTATCGTACAGAAAAGGACAGATTGTTGAATTCAAACTTTTGTTTTAATTATGACATAACATCACAAAGACAATATCTAAGTTGGTTGAGTCCGTGATATGTTTGATTATATGTTATATACATTGAGCTAAAAAAGAGAAAGAGCGAGGTCACCTCTCATAATAGCTAGTTTTTCAAGCCTAAAAGGAGAAGAACTTCTTCCATTAATTCAAGCCTTTTATTGAAGAACAATCCAAGTATATATATATATATAAAAAAAACAGTGTAGGAAAATCCTATGCATTTTATTGTAATTCTTAGAATCTTGGATCAATTCAGTGATTTAACCACACATCTTCATTAAGATGTTTTAGTAAGAAATTCTTTAGATAAAATAGTAATGAAAGGGAGAAAAGATAGTTGAGAAAAGAATTTTTCTTAAGAATGAAAATCCTTAAAATATGAAAAGATGAATATATTGTATTTATCTCGTTTGTCTTAATATAGGATAAATTAGCGATTTTAATTAAAATAGTCAAACTTAATTTACTTATTCATTAATAATAATATTAAATAATATTTTCAAATAGAATAAGTTTAAGCTTGCAACTTTACTACTCATTTTTAACTCCTTAGAGATGTAAAGTGAGTGTTACTTTCAAAAGAAAATAAGTAGATTTTAGCCTATTAGGGACATAAGATATATTCGAATTCGAGCTCAAAAGTTCAAGATTTGATTGCATAAAACATGAGATTGTTAAAGTGGGAAATAAAATAAAAAAATTATTAGAATTAACTATTAAGATTAATAAGACTCACCAAAGCAAATCATAATTAGTTTATCAATATATGATACCATTAAAGATCAAATAAGTGCAGAACAATGCATGAAAAGATTATTACCAAGGTTGCATCAATGACCAATTGCGATCTCAATATAAAAGATTATATTATGGAGAAAAAAATATTTCATTGATATGTATAGAAGCTGTTCAATCATTCTATACAAACATTGATTAAAAATAAACTAAACTAATTTTAGGTTCTTAATAATTCATTGATTTTCAATTTGTGTATTTAATATTTATTTTTTTAAGTTGCGTATCTAATAAATTAAATATTTTTGTTTATGTCCATTTACTCTTTTAATATTGTTTGTTGAAACATATGTCATACGCTTAAAATGTTGAATAATGTATGTATTAAGTCACTTCTCTTACAGCTATTATATATGGCATTGCACAATAAAAAAAAACATATTGGTCGTTATGATAAAATTATAAGTTGAACGTTAAATAGAGAAATTTAAAATATATCAGGTATCAGTTGAAAACACTATATTATTATGGATAAAGTACAAATAAATACTATTTTCAAGGTTTTCTAATTTATTAGGTTCTTAATCTCCGAAATAATAATTTATTTGTTACTTAAAACAAAAATTGTTGGAAAATTGGATTTTGTTAAAGATGAGTTGAATTAAACTTATAAAACTTTTTTCTCAAACAAAACTTTGATAAAGTTTGATATTGTTGGAGCTTTGGTTTTGTTATTATACTAAAGCCGAGCATCATTTGAATTTCGAATAAGATCAATATGATTATTCTTCGTGATTATTATTTTGTTCCACTTGAAGAGGATCAATCTCATGGATAATTTGTATGTAGGTTGGTTTTGAACTATGTCTATAACAATCATTTTAGTCAGACTAACAATTTTTTTTATGGAGTATCATAATTGTATACCATGTTTATTTTCCATATCAAAATTTGCATTGAACCTTTCTTATTCATGTATATCCTTAATAGAGCTTTATAGAACTAAAAATAACAAACAACAAATCTTGTTAAGTAATACATACATGTCATTTTATATAGTTTAACTTTCGTGGATAATATATACGAACCATCATTTAAGAGTAATTTTATATAGTTTAACTTTCGTGGACAATACATGCATGTCATAACTTATGAATAATTTTCTACAGTTTAACTTTTGCACGTAATACATATGATCACCATCCGTGGATAATTTTTCACCAAAATGCATTCGTGATAACTTTCCACCCTATGTAACAAGAGTTATCAATTCATTTCTAATGTATGTTAAGACAAAATCGTCTATATGTCTAAATATTCCCGTTTAACCAAATAATATTAAACAAAATAAGAATATGAAAATACATTAGGATGCAACACAAGACTTATGCTCAAAGATCTCTTAGAAAAACCTTAGGAAAACCTTTAGGATTGTAAAAATCATAAAAACATCTAAATCAAAACACCAAAATCCAAAGCTAAACGACTGTTAAGTCAAAAGCATCTAAAAAAGTTTAAATTAAACGTGTAAGCTTATTATACCCAAAAGGGTATTCAATTGAACTTATGAAAAAATGAAAAAGTGTCAAGACAACATTTTTGACAATTTTTTTTAAAAGCCTAAACCTAAAACATCAAGGAAAAGATATCATGCTAAACGCCATTGCTCTAAAAAGGCAAAATCACAAAAAGTGTTTGCATCAGTCCAAATGATACCATGAGCTAAAATGTTACTTCATCCAATAATGAAGTTTCCATTCAACGCTTGATATCTTTAGAAGAAGAGCTTAATTCTTAAACGCCAACTTAATGGTAGGAAATGAAAAATACTTTATTGTTCTGAGCAAACATTGAATGACATTAAATGCTCAACGTTCAAAAACAACAAAAGTGATAAGAGATAAGATATATTTGTTGCATGCACAATTTACTCTATTATTTGCAAATAAACTACTCTACACACATCCACAAGTCTCAATTAAAATATCAAAAGTGGATGTCAGAGACAAAAGAGATATTCACGGAATGTTCTTTACTTAAAGTAAAGTACTGAAAAAGCAAGTCTGCTTTGACAAGTTGACTTTAACCAACGACTGTTATACACGAAAAAAGAGAAGAAATAAGAATCAAGGCCAAAAGCTTAATCTAACAAAAATTTATCCAATAGCCTTTAAATAAAAGATCACTCAAATGAAGAATCAAAAGGATAACATACAACAAAAATATTCATCCTTTGAGAAATATTCAAATGAAAAGCACAGAAAGAGATCAAGAAAAAGAAAATACTTGAGTAGAAAAATAGAAGAAGAGAAAAGAAGAAAAACAATACTTTCAAGCTTCACTATGATATTTGCTTACTGATTGTAAGAAAGAGAGAAAGAGAAAAGAGAGAAACACCTACGAGTGTTTATATTTCATTGTATTGTTATCACATCCTCTTTACGATTGTAATAGTTTAAAGGACTTGTAAGCATTTGTTGGTTGCAATTTTAAAGAGAATTAAAACACTTGTTGAAATCAATTGAGTTAAGAAAATCTAGGCAAGGTTGCCTAGTACTAGGAGTAAAGTGAATGCTCATCCAATCTAGGGTAATAGTAGGTTATTCACAGACTAAGGACACCAGGAGTAGTGAGAATACTCATCCATTCTAGGGTAACAAGAGGTTATTTGCTGACTGAGAAGACCAGGAGTGGTGCGAATACTTAGTTGTAATCTTGTTGAATGTAATAGTGCAACCCTTTGCGGAGGAGACTGGACGCAGCTCAGTTGGAGCAAAACAGTATAAAAATATCTGTGCAATTATCTCTTCTCTTGTCTAAATGTTTTTCTTATAAAACCTACAACTGTGTTTTTATTTATAAATACAAGAACTTTTCGCACTAAACAATTATTCTTCAACCAAAGAAGTTCTTACAAACTCTGTAGTGTACATTCTAAATAACACGTTAAAAGCAACTATCATGGTTGCGAAATGTTTTTTTCATTAACACTATTTAACCCCCAGTTTGACAAAAAGAAAAAGCTCTTATATGTGTTCTAGTCTCAAACTCATACAAGTTCAAACAAAGACAATAAATAGGTAAAGATTTCAAACTTGATTAAAAACACATGCAAATATAAACAACTTAAAAATGCAGATATATAATGAAAGATGCCGATGTCAAAGCAAAATAAAATAAAATTTAAAATATTTTAACTAGAAGTAATATAGACATATAAGTACATTAAAATAAAATACAAATATATCGTAAAATGTAATATCCATATAAAATTATAATAAAATGAAGTTGAGGTAAAAAAATTTCAATAGAAGCATGAAATGTAAATATATATTGAAAGGTAACGCCATTTGGAATTAGAGCAAAATGATGTTGAACTTAAAAGCATTTTAAACAAAAATAACATGGTCGTATAAGCATAAATAATATTTCTTTTATACATACCAAAATTAATATATAAAAGAATAATTATTTTGAACTTTTTTAAATTTTATGCATTTAGCTCCTCATATTTGTCTATATCTATAAAAGAAAATTTTAGTTCCTCCAAAATACTTGTTGAAGATCCACCATTGCATATAAGTAACTTAAAACAAAACACAAACACATGTTGTGAAAGTAATTCCCTAATCCCAATAGAAAACCAAAACAAAACAAAGTTAAGGTTAAACATTTTAAATAAAAGAACATACAAATATAAGCACCATCAAATAAAGATATATATCGAAACATACTTGGTCATATGGAATTAGAGCACAATGAAATTGAACTTAAAATATTTCAAACATAAATTAACATGGACATAAGTAGATTAAAATAAAACGTAGACAAAAAAAAGAGAGTTAAGGTTA